ACATGATCACAACATGTAAAATGCAGTACTGTATCTCTCTCTCTCTCTCTCTCTCTCTCTCTCTCTCTCTTCCCTTTCTCTTTCTCACCCAAACACACACACACAAACAGACTTACACAAAACACACCACACACACACACACAACACACACACACACACACACATACACACACACCACACACACACACATACACACACACACACACACACAAACACACACATACACACATACACACACACACACATACACACATACACACACACACACATACACACATACACACACACACACACACACACACACAAACACACACATACACACACGATCCATACATAGCTTTAAGACGAGGTACGATAAGACTTGGAGCAGGGAGAGTGGGCCTAATAGCGAAAAGAGGTGAAGCCACGAACTGTAACTCGACCCCTGCAACCACAACTAGGTGAGTATACACACACACACACACACACACACACACACACACACACGAGGACTAGGGGGATATGATAACGAAGTACAAAATTGGAAGTGACAAGATGAAAAGGGAGAGAATGTTTTAGAGAAGGGTAATAGCAAGAGGCACAACTGGAAAATGAAGATGAGATGAGTCAGCGGTATGTTAGGAAGTATTTCTTCACCCATAGAGTTGTCAGTGAATTGAACAGTCTATGTGGATAATTTTTTTCCAACCCCCGGGGGCGGCGACCCCATCTTACGGGGCGGCGATCCCTTCCGGAGAGGTAAGTGGCAGAGACGGGATCCATACATAGCTTTAAAAGGAGGCACGACAAGGCTCTTGTAGCAGAGAGTTGACCTAGTAACGACCAGCGAAGAGGCGGGGCCGGGAGTTGTGAATCAACTCCTACAACTACATATAGGAGAGTACAAATAGGTAACACGCGCACACACACAACCACACACACCACACACACACACACACACACACACACACACACCACACACACACACACACACATACACACACATACACACACATACACACACATACACACACATACACACACACATACACACACATACACATACACACGCAAGCAAGCAAACACAAGCGGTCGTCTCGGTCAAACTTGAAGCTGTGCTGCCTATTCGTGAGTTGGTTTGTTAGCCTGAGGGTCCCTCTTTATTGGTTACTTTCTTCATCGTTTGGACAACTGAGCCTCTGAGTTCTTTCCACATGTTAGTCTTTCCGAATCACCTTCGCACTTTTATCACTCACCAAAAGTTACAAAACATTAACTTATTTTTATACTAGATAACCTACTGTTATCATTTTCTCTTCGATGTCCTTGATCCGAGCATTAAAAGTTTAAACGAGAGTTTACCGAAAGTTTCAGTTACATTTTGCGTGTTATGAGTTAGGTTGTGAAGGGTTATGTGGGCCAGCTGGGCAGCTGCCTGGCTCAAGCCGGCTTCCAAGAGTAGAATCCTTAAAGCCAGCTCCAGATATGTTGGTAGCACTGATAACCAGCTCCAGATATGTTGGTAGTGCTGGTAACCAGCTCCAGATATGTTGGTAGTACTGGTAACCAGCTGTTCAGTCCATCACTCTTGTAGGAGTGATAGACTGAACACATCGATTCCATGTTGAGGGACTGATTACCTCAAACTTCTACTCTCCTTATCCACTTCTACTTTGTATTGGACTGATGAAGCCACTGTGTGGCGACACGTTTCTTCAATAAAGATTCCCATGTGTTGCATAAGTGTCTCAATTCTTCAACTTGTCGGTTTTCAAAACCATTCGTCACAGCTCCAGATATGTTGGTAATACTGGTAACCAGCTCCAGATATGTTGGTAATACTGGTAACCAGCTCCAGATATTTTGGTAATACTGGTAACCAGCTCCAGATATGTTGGTAGTACTAGTAACCAGCTCCAGATATGTTGGTAGTACTGGTAACCAGCTCCAGATATGATGGTAATACTGGTAACCAGCTCCAGATATGTTGGTAGTACTGGTAACCAGCTCCAGATATGTTGGTAGTACTGGTAACCAGCTCCAGATATGTTGGTAATACTGGTAACCAGCTCCAGATATGTTGGTTATACTGGTAACCAGCTCCAGATATGTTGGTAATACTGGTAACCAGCTCCAGATATGTTGGTAGTACCCGTACCTGTTGAGTCTCAACGGGAAGATATGTATTGATGACAGTGTGATAAATGATTTAGTATCTCAGTCTTCAACATTGATGACAGTGTTTCACGTAAAGAGAACTGGATCGTTTTAAACTCCGTTTTTTTTTTTTTTTTTTTTTGTTAGTGACAAACGAAGGGAACTGAAACGTTTTAAACTAAGTTTTTTTCATGTGAGAGATAAACCTGGAGTTTACCTAGAGTCGTTTTTGGAGGTCAACGCCCCCGCGACACAGTCCCAAACCAAGCCTTCTAAAAAATGACAAAAGGGCACAAAAAAATGTTCTCAACAGACCGTTAGAAATACAGTTGATAGGGAAAATAAAACAAGTCACACATAAACCCAAGTACTACAGATATTAACCATACTAGACAGAATAAGAGTTAATGAATATAACACATTTATAACCCGTGGATAAATTCATTACCTAAACGTTTCTTCTGCATAACAGGCAGTCGAGACACAGGAGAATACAACACTGGAAGCAGTAGTTTTGAACGTGATCAGCTGTAGCCCAGTGGTGAGAGTCGCGTCTCTCATCACTGGGCTACGGTGAGATCGAATCCCTGGACTGAAAAGAAGAAATAACTTTGCCCCTATTTCTTTGCACATTACTAGTTCCAAATTTTCACCAGACGAGCCTGGCCCGTGGCCGGGCTCCGGGAGTAGAAAGACTCGTAACTCATCACAGGTAAGATAGGTATGTCACCCTCGAAGAGAAGATGATCAGTCCCTCAAGCCTACACTAGCTACCCAGCAGCGAGATGAGTGTATACAAGACATCCAAAACACCAAGCACTCGAGAGCGAGTGGAAAAATTACTGCACTCGCAGTTTCACCATTACTAAATTTGCCAATTTAATCAGCGCCAAAAAACACAGATAGGTGAGCCTATATCCAGTGTCAGGGGCATACAAACTAATATGAAAAGTAAAGTTCCATACATTAATGTCCGCTCATAGAAACTAACATTAAGACTCCAGTATACAGTGAAATATTGAATAAGTTGCAAGGAATAAGCTTACATCAGAAATATTCACTCACTTGCACTGATCTGGTAAAATTGAAAGATATGGTGAAATTGCTGGGAAGAACGTGGAGAATTGAATCCTGGTAAACGAGAGCTTTGTATACGAGCAACAATCAGAAATAAGAAAGGAATCACCGAACAGATAGGCAGCTGCTTAGAAAACACTAGAAAAACTACACCGAATATCTTTGATATTTCAACCTCTAAATGTAAAGCGGAAGAGAATACGCAATAGTATTGTACCTGAAATTGTACCAGGAAGTACCAGGTTAATACCAGAGAACTTCCATGTAGTATTGTACCAGGTTTATACCAGAGAACTCCCATGTAGTATTGTACCAGATAAATACCAGAGAACTCCCATGTAGTATTGTACCAGGTAAATACCAGAAAACTCCCATGTAGTATTGTACCAGGTTTATACCAGAGAACTCCCATGTAGTATTGTACCAGATAAATACCAGAGAACTTCCATGTAGTATTGTACCAGGTAAATACCAGAGAACTTCCATTTAGTATTGTACCAGGTAAATACCAGAGAACTCCCATGTAGTATTGTACCAGGAAGTACCAGGTAAATACCAGAGATTCCTTGAATGTTCTTCAGGTTTGTTTTGAACCAACGATAAGAAATCCTATTATATATGAAAATACGTTAAAGTTGATCTTGACAAAGCTCTTGGAGAGCGAAACGTTGCTAAAATAATATGTCGTATTTGCACATGAGCTTATCAGGGAGATAACAATCTCCAACACACAGATTGCAACCTCACGGAAGTGCAGATCAGACAGCACGGGTGTAGGGAGCTTAAGCAAGTGTCGGCGTGAGAGGATGTTTAAGGAATTCAGCTTCAACAATTAGAGAATTGACCGAGACAGCATAAACAAGGCACCATCAAACATTGGCGAATTAGACACACGTGCAACATCTGGGTATCTTTATTGTAGACGTTTCGTCATCCAGAGGCTTTATCAATACAAATTCAAGGACATAATTGGAAGACAGTAGAACTCTATACAAAAGATGAAGTAATCAGTCCCATAGCCTTGGTGCTGTTGAAGAGCACTGTAGTCGTCTGAAGCACAAGCATGCCTGTGCTTCAGACTCTTCACGACAATGGTACTCTTCATCAACTCCAAGGCTGAGGGACTGATTACCTCATCTTTTGTGTATAGTTCTACTGTCTTCCAGTTTGAATTTGCATTGATAAAGCAAATGAATGGCTAAGCGTCTACGGTTTACTAAAGATACCCAGATGTTCTACATGTTTCTAATTCTTCATCAAACATTCCCTTGGAAACTGTCCTATGCACCGTAAACCCAAACAAGTGCACAGAAAAACGGATTGCAGAAGCATATGTACGGCACCAGGAAAGTTAAAAAAAAAAACATAAATAGGAGACTTTACAGAAGGAAGAGGGTTGGAGAACTGCTTGATAACTGCAAATATCACCACACAGAAAGAAATATGCACATAGAAATTACTGAAAGAACGGACACTAAAGCATAAATACCTGGTAAGTAACATGCAGTTACTTTATGGGTACCCTTGGAATACCCAAGTAGAATTTACACAAGTGTATACATATAATTACACATACACAACTGTTTATACATATAAGTTTGTACATCCCTTTTAATGTTGACTGTAAATAATTCACTTTAAATGTTATTGAATGAGCATCACCAATAAATACTTTTGTCAGACGTCCTAAGAGGAAGGAGGTCCCACCCAACAATGTTTAAAGTCCGCGGACACGACTTAAAAGTTTTATTTTGACGAGCCCTAATGTTATTTTCTCTCCCCTGCAGCACTGGCATCCCAGGAGTGAAGAGTGGGTGAAACATCAGAGACGGAGGCGATGAGATTACGCCCAGAGGCTCGCTGCACCAGCACACACTACCTGCAGCCTCCCTCTGATTTGTTTCTGGCCTTTGACGCTCCGGATGTGTGAGGAGGAAGGATACTCTTTTATCACGCTGGTGCGTTGAGGCGAGAGCAGTGAGCCGACCTTCCGAGCGCAGTAACCCACAAGAGAAACGGGGAATACGTCTATGAGCGAAATCGATGGCGGCTGGAGGATAGAGCGGCATCATTCCCTTCAGTGACGCCCTCCTTGATACTCTGCTGACCCAGGAAGCAGGCAGGCAAACACACACAGGCAGATAGACGCCTCGCCACACTGTCATCTTCCTCCTCTCTCTCTCTCTCTCTCTCTCTCTCTCTCTCTCTCTCTTCTATCTCTCTCTGTCTATCTCTCTCTCTTTCTCTCGACCCTCAGCTTGAGAGGGGCCATCGTGTGAGGACCCAAGTGTTGTGAGTGTGTGTTGATGGCGCTGCCGCCACCTCCTTCCTGCCGCTCCACGCTGCCACCGTCCTAACATCCCTGACCCTTGTCTTATGAAGGAGCCACGCAGTATTATCCTCGAGCTACACGTTCAATAGCTATCTGTAACGTTTTCCCAGTGACATCTGATGAAACAATTGACCCAGCATGTTGGCACGTCATAGTAGACGCCATTGAAGACGTATGTTGCAGTGTGAGAATTCGTAGCTCAATATATTGCCTAATATTATATCGCTGTTGTTGTTGGTTGAACTTAACTTTTGGGGATTTTAAGTAATCGGTGTTAATTTATATGTAATATAGAAAAAATCTGGATTTTAATTTGTTTTTATGTATACATCAGTATTTCATATTATATTACATCGTAAATTCTTGTTAACGTTTTGAAGTTTGTGTTTGGCAGTGTATAGTGATGTGTGATCCGTGAAGTTGGTGCCGGGAAACACCGATCATCTGTGATACTGAAACCAAATGTTTGATAAGAAATTTATATTTAAAATATCCGACTCAGTGTACAGAAATATAGTCCTGTGCTGCAAAATTCTTGTAACATTCCCGTCTAAAGTTGTAGAAAAGGAGAGAACTGCAACAATTTAAAGTCATTATTTAGGCAACAAAAATTTTTGGAAAACCCGGACGTCCATCGACAGACGGCGCGAAGAATTATTATGGAAATTGGTGCTTAGTCACGAGGAAGGACAGTTAGACCACGATTTATGGGCAAGTTCTCAAAAGGAGAGAGCAGGGAAAGTTTACGACTTGCACCTTTTCATTGTTTTATGGTTCTCAAGATTCGTGGGACTGAAGACTTAACAGCAAAATCAAATGCTGTAAGGAGCGCCTAAGAGCTTCTAAGAATATTACTTTGAATTCAAAAAGGATTTTTATAAGCCTTGAGATGGCAGTGACAAGTGAAGATTGAATCTGGTGTGCAGATCGCTGTTCCTTCTACATGGTGCTGTGATTCTGCCTGAGCTGCCTGCTGATAACGCAGCTGACACAGCATATTGAGGGTCAACACTACCCGTGGGCCACTCCAGCCAACGCCCTGTTGATTCATCACTGTATCAACACATCAAATTGTATTCCATTTTGTCACGAAAGTCATATTGGTCTTAAATACTGAGTAACCTATGGACTATGTTAGTCCGTTAATTGAGAGAGTCATATCCTCCTCTCGCATCATTAGTGTTAAAGGTAATCCAGAGTAACAGTTTAACGAGGAATATTAAGGCTGGAACCATTAGTTGCCACTCACTGATGTTTATTTAATGAGGAATTTGACCAAGTCATCATTTATCACTCGACTGTCTGTACACCGTGAAGTTGCAGCATTTAACTTGACTCGTTGAAGTGACAGTAATCACACTTCAGTACTTCGGCATAGCATAGCCTCGTGCTCAACAGTCAAAGATTCGAGCCTCCACTAATACTTGTGCTGTATGACCCAAAGGAGTTTAGCGCTTCACAAGAAGTAATAAGTCGGAAAAGCGGTTTAAATATTGAATGCTGAAGAGTATTTTATTTTCACTGGATTTAAAAATGCTAAGGCTGGTTATACATACGACGTAAATGTCCGTAGAGAGTGACAGAATATCGTAGCGTTGACATTGATGATCGTCTAGCCTAAATAACATTTTCAAGACGCTTATCTCAAACTTTCATTCTAAGATTTAAATCAGCTATCGGTGGCCTACCACGAATAGTGATAGTCTTCTTGTGCTTAGAGAATATTGATAAATCAGAAGCCTGAGTGTGTGTGTGTATCAGTAGTGACGTGATAAAGATTTATTTTAGAGAATTTCAAAATTGGAACAGACAAAATTATTAATAGAAAACAGACTTGTGAGAGTGAAGGCTCACGAGAGCACCAGGTAGCCACAATGGTTAAGATGGTCCCTCGCCGCGGGTGGCTGCGGCTCTCGTTTCTGGGCCTGCTCGCCGCTTGCGCCCTGGTGTATGTGTACTACTACTCTTCGGGCACTCCTAACTCCCACCTGCTGAAGGATAAGCCGCAGGAGGCCGCCAGGGGAACAGGGGCTGAGCGGAGGGCAGAGAGGCAGAGTGAGGTCCAGGATGACGGTCCTGGGCAGTCCGTCCCTGCCCACCAGTGCCGGGCCATCATGGCTCCCAAGACAGATGTCAACACCGTCGACCAGTTCCCCAAGTTCGAGTTCCAGGTTAGTGGCTCTCTCATGCTCATCTTAGAGAAGGTTTTACAAGTAGGCCTAATTTTAGTTTCATAGATGGTCCATAGCGATGCCTGATCACAGACTCGGCAGCGGAGGCGTTGACCCCCGAAACTCCCTCCAGGTATACTTCAGGTATAATAATAATAATAATATCTTTATTTCTATAAGTACTTGTTCATGTATACAGGCCTAGCTGACATAAATGACATACAACTATTTAGAAACCCGCTTCTTATGCAGAGTATTTCGGGCAAATTAGGTCAATTTTGTACCAGGATGCGACCCACACCAGTCGTCTAACACCCAGGTACCCATTTTACTGTTGGGCAACATAGACAACCGGTGTAAGGAAACACGCCCAATGTTTCTCCCCTCGCCGGGAATCGAATCCGGACACCATATTCAACAGCAGGAAAATAAAGCACACATTTTCCGTCTAGCAAGGACCCTCTTCAGGAGATACATTTGTGTGTTTTCTGTTAGTGTATTAGTCAGGAAAAAGCATGAGGCTAGTTTTTGTCATATGATGACGTGTTCAGCTGTGCCGGCCTTGTAACGGTGCCGCTAAAAGCATGTCCAAGAAAACGTATGAAAGAAGGGTAAGCCATGGTGCTGAACTCAGTGGTGTGAGTGGGTTATCAGTATTCTTAGTATATTCGTCAAAGGTAAATACTAACGCGGGTCTTAGTCGTAAAATAACCGATTCAGTAGCGCTGAACCAAGGATGGGGGCTGGTGTAGGTGGGGATAATGGTAGAATGTAATGATACAGCTTGGGGGTTTTGCCGTTTTAGTATTGTAGACGTTTCGTCTATTAGGGACTTTTCAGCTGAGACAGAGAAGACGACACTGCTCAAAACTGGATCATTCAGACACTGAAGCCTCTGAGTCTTATTCTGCAATCACCTTCTCGGTCTGCTAATCGCATGCAGTAGCATTTGTTTACATCAAGACCTCTCCCCGACCACTATATATATTACCCATCATCGTGTTACTCTATGAATTGATAAGTGCTAATAGATGAAAAGTCTTCATTAATAAAATGCCACATACCCGCACTGTTTCCTTTCGATATATGATGTGGAACTGCTATTAATGGCCCTATGGCGGTCCACTGAAGCAGCGACCACTACTAAGCTTAGCGTTGCATAACTGGTTAGAATGGTTAATGATTGTTTTCATTTGTTTGTCTTGCCGCACCCCTTGTGGCTGGGGCACGGCAAGACGGTGTGGCTAAGGACTTGTGAAGGTAAGTAGCCAGTGGCCCTTATATCAGCCTTTGAGAGCAACAACCACTGGCTAATTGATGTTGGACTCAGACGAGAGATTGCTGAGCAGTAGGAAGAAATGTCTTATGTGTAGGCCAGGGAGAAGGTTCACGGGATATTAGGGACTGACGACCTCGCATGAATACGAGGCATCAGACATATTCTTATTGAGTAAGTTATCTTTTTCAGCGGTCTGTTAATTTTAATAATGAAGCTATTTAGTAGAAGCTTGACACTGAATATATATATTATATATATATATATATATATATATTATATATATATATATATATATATATATATTTATATATATATATATATATAATGTCGTGCCGAATATGTAAAACTGGTCAATTAGTAAGAACTCATTTAAAATTAAGTCCTTTCTAAAATTTTCTCTTATACGTTTAAAGATATATTTTTTTCATTAATGTTGATGTAAAAATTTATAGTTTTGCACCAAAAGGAACTTAGAAAACTTACCTAACCTTATTATAACAAGCGCAATTTATTTTAGCCTAACCCAACTAAATATATTTTAGATTTGTTTACAATAATTTAATACTAAACAAACACAGTGAAATATACTTTTTTCGTTAGGTTCAGAATGATTTTGGCGAAATTATTGCATACACAAATTTTCACTTGTCCTAATGGCAAGATAACCATTGCTATTTAAGCCAAGATCGCAAGTTCTGCCTATTCGGCACGACATATATATATATATATATATATTATATATATATATATATATATATTATATATATATATATATATATATATAAAGTAGTACTGAAAGCGGCTGAGCGATGTATGGGGCTGAGTGGCTCCTCCTGAAAAGGGCTGCGGCTGAGCAGTGGCTCCCTCTCCTGAGCGCTGTATTCCTGAGCGGACTCCTTTTCACACCTTTATGCTAATGACCTTGACCTCGCCCTCGAGACCACCTCACCCTCGACCACCTCGCCCTCGACCACCTCGCCCTTGACCACCTCACCCTCGACCACCTCGCCCTCAACCCCCACGCCCCCACCCGCCCTGCCCTCGAGCCCGCCCACGCCTTCTGCAGCACCTGCAGTGTCGTCCGGATCGCCCCCGCTCCCCAATTTTTTTCCGATTTTTTTTTCGAATTTTTTTGAATTTCTTGTGCTCTCCATCTCCTTGCATCAAACTTTTTGGGTACCCCTCCTTCCACCCCCAAATATTCCTGCTCCATCTCCTTGGATCAAGTTTTTCTCGATACCAACTTTTTTGAGGGTCTCCTTCCCACTTTCACCCCCATCCCAATTTTGTTTGATTTTTTTTTTAATTTCATTTTCTTATGATCTCCTCGGATCAAGGTTTTTGGGTTCCCCCCTCTGGGGGTAAGCATTCAAATGAACTCCCACTGTGATGTAGTTCAGCTGGGCTTGTGAGGTCTCTGGGGAGACCTAATTTAACCAATTATATGGTCACACCTTGCCTTGGCAAACGTCTGTAGCCACGCCCACGTCTGAGGTCTTTTGTTTTTGACGGCGTCAGACCTAGGCGTCAGGTCGTACACGTGGTTGTGGAGGGTGCTTGGACCACCATAAAAGCCCAGGGAAGAGCATGATCAGGAGATTCGAGCGGAGCTGCTGCTGGGGTGCAGAGCTCCTGAGCAGAGTCTTCGAGCGGAGCTGCTGCTGGGGTGCAGGGCTCGGGAGAAGGCTGCTGAAGTCTCTGAGGAGACTGTTGGAGACATTGGGCAGAGTACTGGCTTGGAGCAGTACTTGTGCTGTGTAGGTCTTGGGACCTGTGGCTTAGTTCCTGTAGTGAACTGTCTTCTGTACTATATTGTAAGTTATATTCATTTTCGTCAAGTTGATTGTGTTCCCTGTCTCACTGCTTATGTGTACCACCCCATTTATCTAAACCCCAATGATGTACTCCTGTTCCCAAATATATTATTGTACAAGGACTTAATAATAAACTGTGTTTGAGTAGAATAGTAATATTCACTGTCCCCATTATTTATTCTTATTTCCATTTATTTATGTTTAGTTAAAGTAGTGAGAGGGTGAGTAGTGCGAGGGTAATGAGAGGTGAAGTTGTCACCAGTGACCTCACATTACCTACCTACCGTTCACCTCTCCTGTCAACTTCTACCACCTCGCCTGCCTGTCCTCTCCCTTACCTACCAACCTCCGCTAATCATCTCACTCCTACCACCTCGCCTGCCTCTCCCCTGCCTACATACTCCTTTACTCCCATATTCCCCGATTATGCATTCATTGCTATGCTGTGACCGTGCTGTGATGCTGTCTGCTATGCTGTGGCCGTGATGTGATGCTGTCTATGCTGTGGCCGTGCTGTGATGCTGTCTGCTATGCTGTGGCCGTGCTGTGATGCTGTCTGCTATGCTGTGGCCGTGCTGTGATGCTGTCTATGCTGTGGCCGTGCTATAAAGGACTTGTTTGGTAGGTGCTGCAAGCGGGTGTGAATGATAAACTTCTTCGGAGGCTTCTTACTTTATTGTTAAGTAGTGGTGGGTTACACAGGCTTGTGTGTTTGTGCCCATGGCCCGGGCAGGGCCATGCCACGAGAGAGAGCTGGGAGTACTTGTGTCTTGATGCCAGGCCGCTGTGTGAGTGAGGGCGAGGCAAGTCTGGGCATACTGAAGTGGCAAGGCCTATAGATGGCCAGCACCTGAGTGGCGCGAAATATGAACTAAGCTGGCAGACAGCATGGGCGTCTGTGCAGACAGTACAGGCTGTCTACATCGCTGGGGCCACCTACCCGCGTCGTCCCGACGCGACAATACTGGTAGTAAAAGAAACTCGGTCTCTCTCTCGTGGGAAAACAGGGCCAGAACACAAATAAAAAACATATATATACATATGGACATGGAAAAAAACTTCCTACAGGGAGGGAAGAAAAAACATGTGGGGGTGTGCCTAAACATCGTGGTCATAGGCATGGAGCATCAAAAGTGCATCACTGCACGCCTTCCTGCGTCGGACAGATACTGCAACAGGGGGAAAACATCGCTGCGGCTGAGCTGTGACGTAAAAAGGGTTACGGTCTCCTCTGGAACGGTGAAGCAGACATCGTAGGAGTCGCTGCAGGTTTTCACTCAACCTGGGGCACGACATGCTGGTGCCTCGAGTGAGGCGTCGACAAAAACTCGGCAACTGGGCAGGACTTCTGGCAAGCGACTCAGGCACTCCTCGACTGGTACTGTCGCTGGGCTGTCCTGCCGGCGAGCGTGGAGCGAGTTGTGGAGCGAGTCGTGGCAGAGACGACTGGGCGAAACATCTGGGAGTCGTAACATCTTTACACCAGATGCAGTGAGCGAGCTAGCAGTCAAAGTGACATCTTCTTTGTGCAGGCTGCTCACTGAAGCTTGTGACACGAGCTGACACAGCGCCTGCCGACAGGGCTGGCTGGGGCCCTTGGGACGAGTATCATCTCTCGACAGCTGGAGTTATAGCAGGGTTAGTCTAAGCGTCCCCAGACTTGTTTCTCTACATATAACTGCACTCTGAAGGTCTGGAGGTAAAGTGAAACAAATCTCGATGGGAATCGTAGCAGGTACGATTCTACAGAACATCACGAGCGACGAGCATAAAAGCTTTCTGTACAAGGGGGTTTCATACGCTCAGGGCTGAGAAATCAGCTGTCAACACTGGTCAGGCGGGTGACTTAGGGGTACAATTCAAGGGTCTGACCACAGACCTCACTGGACACACGGAACTTTAAAAAC